CCCTTGACCTCGGTAAGACGCCGTTCTCTGATTCTTTTGTGGAGTGCCTCGAAAAGGTTGGCACTCAAGATTGTGTCTTGGCTTTTTAGTTTGTCTAAGACAAATTTCAGGGTTGTGTCAGCAGTTATCAAACTCGACTCTTCTGCAGAAAGATTCTTCAGCCAGTTTAAACTTAAACTCTAAAGTTGTAGTGCATAGATTTTCCTTCGGTAAAGTTATTTAAAGCTAGTTTCTGATGTCAAAAACCACCTCTAATAGTTTTTTAATTTTTTTAATTAATAGATTTTATTATATACATGTTTCATTAAGTCGGGGGGTCGGAAATCGCAATTAAAATTCGAATTTTTTAAAAATATTTAAAAATATACAGCTAGCTAGTACTCACCCTACTACAAACCCTTCGCCTCCCGAAACTTCTATGAGAATGTCCCAGGAAATCCGACTCCAGCTGTGTAAACAATGACTCTTCAGTGTCAAATTTCGCAGAAAGGCGAGACAAAGGAAAATAAAGTTTGAAGCTTTTTCTTCAAAATTAACGCATTTCTTTCATTTTTTTTTTCAGTTTTAAGTATTTTTTATGTTTAATTATATTAATATCAAAAATTGCTGGGAACTTAAGGGTGTGAAGACCTCTCAATCAACTAAATTATAGTAAAGCAATTTCAAACATTGCTTTACTATAATTTATTATCTCCATAATATGTTTTTCAAACTTTACAGGTTTTGTAAGGTGTCAAAGTCCGATTGTTATTTTATGTTTTGGGCGTTATTTTTAGTTATACAGTGGTACCTCAGTATACGTCTGCTTTAGAATACATCCTGTTTGAACGAAACAAATTTTGCTCAGTATACGACTTAATTCAATTATACGCACCATCAATGAACAAGTAGCACTATTGGTGTACTAGACCAGACTAGATGTTTGTGGTGCCACAGTTTATAACTTTGTTAAATTTCTTCTGATTTTAATTTGTAAGTAAAATTTTATTATTTTTATTAATCATGAAAAGCAACAGAAAATTAAAAAAAAAAAAAGACTAGAATCACAATGGAACTGAAAAAAAAAATTGTTGAGAAATATGAAGGTGGCATGCATGTTTGAAATTTAACTGTTGCATACCATATTCTGAGAATGACAATATCAACAATCGTAAATAAAGACATTATTAAATCTGCTAATGTTGCGAAGGGAGTTAAATCAATTTCTAAACAGAAATCGAAGACATTAGATCATGGGTTCCCAACCTATGGGTCGCGACCCAGAAGGGGGTCGCAACGGGCTTTCTGTGGGATTGCCAACTTATACAGTTAACTAAAAAAATGTTCACTATAATGCAATTTTTATTTTTAATGGTGTCTTGAAGTTTGAATAATTTGATATACAGTCAATCCCCCTATAACACGGGTTCCTATAGTTCGGATTCCTATATGACGGCGAAAAAATTGCGACGATGTCCGTACAAACATGGTAAAAAAACTCCTATAATTCGGTAAAACTTCATTGGGCAGCCAAACTACTTTCCGCCATCCAGTGCCACGCTACGGAGAGTTTAGGCGGGTAAATTAAGTTTACTATCGCCTGTACAGTATTATATATAAATTAGGTACTGTATATATAATTATATATTTAATTTATTGTAACTTTATTATAATTATATATATACTTTCCACCGTCCAGCGCCACGCTACAGAGAGTTTAGGCGAGTAAGTTGAGTTTACTATCGTCTGTACAGTATGTAAATTAGGTACCGTAAGTCTAATACAGCACTAATTTTATACATTTCTTGTGAAAGAAACATTTCTTATTCAACGGCCATAAAAATTATTTATATTAATGATGTCTCCAAAGTTCAACGAAGTTTTCGCAGAAAAATAATTTATCAGAAAACGCGGCCGCCGTTTGGTGCGCTGCTCCGCGACGAAAACAAGCTTAAGCAATGGCGACGTCGAACGGTGCACACTCGGTAAGTAATTCTACATTTTTTTGTTTATAGCATAGTTTATACGGATTATTCCCAAAAAATATACGTATTTTGAAAATGTTGAGTCGGCTTAGTCTAGGAATCGACTAATTTTATGGAAGAAAACCTTTCAAACACCCGTAGTCAGTAAACTTCACACGTGTCGGGCTGTGATTGGCAAGGTCTCCTAAAACATCAATTTCATAAAAAACGGAACGTATCTACCGTGTTATAGGGGTGGTCGACTGTATTTTTTAAAAATTAAAATAAGTGTAATATAGGTACGCTATTCCGTCACAGTTGGTTGAATCATGTGTTGAGAGTTTGAGAGGAATAAATTAAATGTTGAGAATGACATGAGGTTGGCGTTAACAAAAACTCACCCGCGAATTTTAAGGCTGGTTAATAACATACAATTTCAACAATCGCATTAAATTATTAGACATAATTTAAAATAAAATTATACTAAAAAACTAATTTCGCTGTTTTTTTAATTACCTTATTAAAAATGTCTTTTTCAATAGTATCGGGGTCGCGGGTCACTTGGCTTTTATAAAAAGGGGTCGCCACTCGTTGCATTAGATCATGTTGAGAAATTGCTTTTGCTTTGGATAACTGAAAAACAGTGTGCTGGCGACAGTGTATCAGAAGTAATTATTTGCGAGAAAGCTAAAAAGATACATGCTGATCTCATGAAAAATCAAGCAGGAACTAGCCAGAAAAGCGAGGTGTTTAAAGCCAGCCATATTTTTTTTACATAAGAACAGATTAATCATTTTTATATTACTTCTTATGGGAAAGGTTGGTTTGGTTAAGTCCAAACATCAGGAACGGATTAAGGTCAAATACCGAGGTTCCACTGTAGTTATTTTTCTTTTCGGGATTGTTTTTAGGTCAGAAATGCCTAAGAAACCCCTAAAATGTGCTAAATTCAAAAATAAAAATCTAAATATACTAATTTATGTCAGTGACTGATCCCTTGATGCATGAATATGTGGAGGGCAATGCAGAGTTACACTAATACAGATAATAGACAATACTCCTGTTCAACAGTTTGGTATAGCTCCCAACAGCAATCTTCATTGAAGCAAATTGTCTGACATTCTCTGATAAGCGATGTATTCTTTGAACACTTTGAAAACTTATACACTCTGAAAAGTGTATTCTTTGTTTAATTATGTGAAAAAGAATTTCTTCATTATTGATTGTTTATTTTGTATATAATTGATCTTGACTTTTTTTGGAATACAGTGGGTGATCGGTTAACGAACATAATCCGTTCCAAGACTTTGTTCGCTATCCGAATTGTTTGTTAACCGATTATCGATTTACCATAGGTTTTAATGGGAATTTAATTAATTCGTTCTGGAGACCCCCAAAATAAAAAATATAAATAAATGTAGTAAGAGAGTATATATGTAATAATAAAATTTAATAAAAACGCAAGACTGTGTACATATGTGTCATGTTTTTTCAGTTTGAAAGGGTTAAAGAATCTGTCTAATGTCAATTGCTTTTCTCTCTTCTTCAGGATTTTTCATAAGTAATTAATAGCATTGCAATTGTAGAAATCCCCAAGCCTCAACCTGGTTTGGATGCCATTCTAAGACCGTTGTTCTGACTTCCTCACACTTCTTCAAAGGATGTTTAATAACAGATATTGGCATTAATCCTCTTTTTCAGAAGAAAACATATCTCGCCAAGTTTCTTGGGTTCTTCATTCAAGAGTTCATGGCATTCTTCTGTCGTGAGATCCATTTCAGGTTCCATTATGAACTCTTCGATGTTCTTTATCAGTGTTTTTCAACCTGTGGGTCGCGAAGCCTTACATGGGGGGTTGCGGGTAGAAGAAAAAGACAAGAGTTTGTAGGTCCTACACTACATTAAAAAAACTACAATTTCAGCGAGAATTACGGCCCATCCCAGAAAATGATAGCGGAAAAAGTGTTGAGCTGATTTGCAAAAAGAAATAAAAAGTAGGAAAGTAGAAGCTGAAAATTCAGATCCTAAAAAGAAAGAAAGAAAAAAAAAAACAGATCTCTGTGCCTAATGTTATAATTAAAGGAAGTTTCATACTTTATGTATTTAATTTTCTTTCTGTTGAGACAAATTATTGTAGATTAAAATAAAAATTTCAGAAGAATCGACAATAATTTAACACACACAGTTTTTAAAATCACTGATATAGTTTTAATATGGCCCTAGGGGGTCGCCAGAATTTTTTAACTTGTAAAGTGGTCACGTATTCAAGAAGGTTGAAAAACACTGTTCTATATTTCTCAGATGTGATTTTTGTTACTCCTTTAGCTGCTTGAGTCTTCTTGATTATACAGTATTTTCCTTAAAAAAATGAACTGTGGCCTACTGTAGACCTGTTCACGCCATACTGCCCAACAACATTAGGCATCTTCTGCCCACTCTTTACCTTTGCTATTATACTCTCAACTTACAAAAGAAAAAAAAAAAAACTCAAAGCTTAACGAGTGCCTACCCGACAGTCTCGTGAATACATAAAAGAATTATTTTGTCATAAAAATAAAAGGCTGGAATTATAAGGGAAAGTTTTAAAGTTCGGAGGAATACTATCCGATCGGTATATACCAGCTTGAGCATTGATGTCGATGACGATGTCTCCCACACTCCGAAAAGTTTCGAATTGTTGCCCGAAGACAAGGAAAGTCCAATTGGTATTCGTTATTTTACATTGCTTCTTCTTGTGTTTGTTCTGTGGGGTGTTCATTATCCGATCATGTGTTCATTGTCCAAACATAAAAATCTTTCGCGAAAGTGTTCGTTATCCGATCACCCACTGTATATACTTAACAATGATTATTTATATATAAATATATATTTATTAGATTGAATGATATTAAGTAAAATTCCACAATAATAAGTGTTAGTGAGAGGCAAAATATAATAATCCAAAGTAAGTCCAGGTCTGATACTTGATTTCAACCCTAAATTGTGTAACCCCGCCTTTTATGTCGTGTGGTATGTTAGTTTTCACACCATGAACTAAAATTTTAATTAATGACTTACCGAAATGATATGTCCACCAAGGCCATGAGCTGCATCAGCACATTCAATAACTGCACTTAACTGTGGATAGCCAACTCCAGTCTTTTTGCGAGTAGTACATACAGATCCTGGTCCAATACCCACTTTAATTATGTCAGCACCAGAGAGTATAAGTTCTTCAACCATTTCTCCCGTCACAACATTACCTGCCTGATATTAAAATGATATTTAAAAATAAATATTTTACATATACATTATCATACATATCTGGGGCCTTGTATAGTGAAAGTTGGTAAAAATTCTTTAAAAAATTTACCTCTAGATATCAAACAATATTTGGAAATGAGAGTTGAATAAAGCACAAAGCATGAAAAGGGCAACAAGCCTCTCACGCCACTATTTAAAACCTGTCTGATTTTCTGCTTGTGTGTTGACTAAAAATAAATTGAAATTGACAGTATCCTTTACAGTAGATCCCCCTATAAAACCGTTTCCTATAGTTATGATTCCTATAAAAATTGTGGCAGTATCCGTAAACAACGGTAAAAATAACTCCTATAATACGTAAAACGTCATCGGGCAGCCGAACTACTTTCCCGCCGTCCGTAGCGCCACGCTACGGACGTTTAGGCGGATAAATTGAGTTTAGTATCGTCTGTTCATATAATTATATATAAATTAGGTACTGTACATATAATTATATATTAATTATATATAAATTAGGTACTGTATATATAATTATATATTAACTTAATTTATTGTAACTTTATTATAATTAAATATATATTTTTCGCCGTCTAGCGTCACGCTACGGCGAGTTAGGCGACCTATCGTCTGTCCAGTACTGTAATTTTATACATTTCTTGTGAAAGAAACATTTCTTATTTAACGGCCATAAAAATTATTTATATTAAGGATGTCTCCAAAGGTCAACGAAGTTTTCGCAGAAAAATAATATCAGAAATCGCGGCCGCAATTTGATGCGCTGTTCCGCGACGAAACCAAGCTTTAGCAACGAGCGTAGTCAAAGGGTACACACTCGGTAAGTAATCCTACAATTTTTTGTTTATAACGTAGTTTATACGGATTATTTTAAAAAAAATATACGTATTTTGGAAATGTTGAGTCGAATTAGTCTAGAATCGATTAATTTTATGAAAGAAAACCTTTCAAACAGCCGTAGTCCGTAAACTATGATTCCTACAAAATTGATTCATAAAGAACGGAACGTATCTACCGTCTTATAGGGGGATCTACTGTATTTACAGATATATTTTGGTGCTTATAGATTTTGATTTGCCTTTAATGTAGACTTATTACCCACAGGCAAGTCAATAATTTCCAATTCTTAAAATCATAAAAGAATTACAGGAAATCCTCATTAGTTCAAAATTCAAGAGACAAAATAATCTAGACTTCAAATTATCAAGTTTAGAATTATTCAAGATTTACATATTTCTGCACAATATGCCAAATGCCATGTAGCTGATTATTTTATTAGGCAAATGAAATATGGCTATATATACAAAATGTTATTTTCATTAATTAATAATAATAATAATAATATAAATAACCTGCGGGTAAATAGCACTTGTCTGGTGAGAACCTCACCGGGTACCACATGCATTTTGGGGATATATAAAGCATTAATAGTTTCAGATGTATGATGACCCTTTCATTGTAATAATATTCTGCATATGTGTAATAAAGTATATTTGTATTAAATATATTAATAATAAGTCTTTAATCCCTTTACAATTAAAAAAACAGGATTAAAGACTTATTATTAAGACTTTTGCTTGACACATAAATCAGAAAGAAGCTTGAGGCCAGTAGTGGATAAGTGCTGTGCTCCTACGATATTATTAGAACGGAAGCTTAAGGAATTTATTATTGCAAACATGCCTCCACATGTTTATAACATAAAGCAGCCATTAGAAGTGCTCCAGAAGTTGAAACAACTGAAAGTTAATGAAACAAGCTACATGACAGTGCTCGATTTTAAGGCTATATACCCTTCAATTAAGCTTGAACCATGCTTTTGTCACCTAAGAGACTTTTTATTAGGCAATATCGATAACGCAGCGAAGTTAAGAAAACAAATTCTAGAACTGGATCATTTGGCTACATTCTTGTCACTTTTTGCTTTTGAGAGTACTGCATACTCACAGCTTAGAGGAGTACCAATGGGTAGCCCGGTCTCAGGCTTATTGTGCGAGATGGTAATAAGATCTCTGGAAAATAACGTATTGCAGAAATATGAAGTTAATATGATAATGTACGCAAGGTACGTCAACGACGTATTTATTATTTGGAACGATAAACCACACATACGCCAATTTATTAGAGATATAAACAACAATACTAATGGCTTGGAATTAGAACTAGAGCAGCAAAATCATAAAAGGATACATTTCTTAGATATAGAGGTCGAAATAGATGAAGAAGAGAAAATCACTACGAAAGTATATAGAAAGCTGACATACATTTCGGATTTGATACCATGGTCCTCTCATGACCCAACAAGCTACAAACTAGCAGCATTTAGAGCACTGATTAAAAGAGCATACACTCATTGTAGCACGGTTCAGGACACATGTAAAGAGCTTGAATACATTGCAAAGCTAGCAAGAGATTTAGAACTTAAGCAAAATAAAGTAAAAGTCTTAATATAAGCAGAAAAAGGAGGCAATAAGAATAAAGATAAGAGAGAGAAAAAGGAGGTCACCATAATGGAATACAGAAAAATAGGAATAGAAAGCAACAAGAAAATAGCGTATAAGAGAAACATAATAATATTCCAAATGCTAAGAAATGACAAAACACCCGTAGACAGAAGGCTGGACCCAGGTGTGTATGTTTTGGAATTTCCATTTGGCAAATTTAAATTCTGTTAGTTCAATCCTGAAAAACGTCTGTTAATCTGACTGAAAACGTTCGATAAGTTTTTAAAATAGACTGCATTTTAAAGGTATTTGGAGTTTATTAATTAACAAATCTTCGCAAAGCTCAGCGTTGTACTGATATTTCACAAAAACTGAAAGTACTGTCAATCCACTGACATTGGTGCTTTCATCTATTCTAAAATTAATGCTTGGTTAAATCAAAATTTTACTAGACTACAGGTTCACTCGGTGCTAACAGCACAAATAGACAGGTAAATCAAGTGGATAAACAAGTTGTTTGGACTGTTAAAAGAGAAATCAGTGTTCATACTGGGATATTTTAAAGCAAGTTTTTGTCATTTCTTGTGTTAATAATTTACAGCAAATTCATTAACATACGCCATTTTATAATGAAAATTAGATGTACCCCTTCGATTTATGCTCGTACCCCTGATTTAGAACCACTGTTCTAGAACAGTCCATAAAGAAAAGTGTGTGCTTATTTGTGCCACTATGTAAATTAAATATTTTTTCCAAGCTAATTAATATTTATCATGTCACTTTGATTCAAACACTATTTGCTTCTTACTTCCTATTTTTCTTTCAGGTTCAAGGGACATTTTTCTTACAAGAAAAACCTATTTGAAATAGTAAGGCACTCTCCCTTCATGCAATTAGAAGACAAAGTTTCTTACTTGAAGACATTTCTCTAAAAACATAAATTGTCCTGATTACCTTATTCTTGATCTTCATTACAAAATTTCATTTTTTGTGTCTCTTGCTAGCTTCTTGCCATCTCTTTAAAAATGAAACAAGATAAATTCCTAATTAAAAACAAAACCTGGCTAGACTATCGGATTTTCAAACAATGATGTTGCTATAAGTAAAAGAGCTGGCCGATCTCAGAAAAGCTTCAATGAATCTTCAGATAATTGATGGATCTTAAGACATTTTGTTTTAAGAACTAAATATTCTCCTTATACATTATCATTTTCAGCTCAGATGAGTTTGTGTTCTGTGGGTAAAGTGGAGACATCCAAATTGGTAAAAGAAGTAACTGGTACATCACCATGAAAAGCAGCCAAATATCAAACTGCTTTTAAAAAGTTCAACATCATCAACCAAGGCAGCTTACAGGCATAGAAGTCCTTGCCTGGTAAGTTTAGCTTCAACACACATGGCATCAATATGCAATTACAAAATCTGCAACAGAGACATTTGCAGATTTAACCAAAGCTTATGGACATGCCACTTTATCAAAAAATGTGGTATTTAGATGGCACAAACATCCAGGGTAAAGATGATGCTTGTCGTTTTTTTTGATAGACGTGAATTGGGCACAAAGAATTTTTACCTTCAGAACAGACAGTTAATCAGATCTTCTACAAAGATGTCTTGGAATGACTTCGGGTCAAGCAAGTCTGCAGGGACATTGCAAAAGATTGGGTGCTGCACCACAATAATTCGCCTGCTCACACAGCACTATCAATTCGAGATTTTTTGGCCAAGAAAAAATCCCACACTCCCACAACCTCCCTATAGCCCAGACCTAACTCCATGCGACTTCTACCTATTCCTAAGATAAAATCTGAAGTTCAAAGGTTATCATTTCGAGATGGTGAAAAACATCAAAAAAGTTGCAATCAACGAACTAAACACCCTTAAGGAAAACGACTTCAACTACTGCTATGGCCAGTGGAAAAAAAACATAAGAACCACTGTGAAACACACTCAAGGGTTGTACTTTGATGTAAATCTTGTATACTTTGAAATAAAAAATCAGTACAGACCTTGTATGTATTTTGATCAATGTATGAATTTTCAAAAAGAAAAAAATTTAATAATTTGTAATAAAGAATTCATTTAACAAAATCTTTAAGGCATGACTTGCTTTTTAGTAAAATGTTGAGGCAAAATCCATCAAATTGAGTCACATTTTATTCACTTTTAATCCAAGGAATAACATCACTGCATTGATTTTTTTTCTTTTTAAAGGAGATTAGTATCACTGTTGTTCTTACAACTGAAAATGAATAAAATTTGCGAGTATATTCAATGGATTTGTCTCAACTTTTTTACTAGTAGATATTGATTGTCAATCTAGTATCAATATATTATTATTTTAAGATTAGGTTTATATTTTATTTTGATTAATAATTATTATATTTTAGAATGTTCTGGAAGAAAAGATCAGCCCAGACAGGGACTTGTACCTGCAACTCTGTTTACCATGCAAAGCTGTTGTCAGTTATATTACCCTTTGCAGATNCAACATGTCAGGAGTGAAACGTAAACACGTTACTCTTTCATTAAATGAAAAATTAGCAGTGCTACAAAGACTAGACAAAGGAGAAGATTGTTTATTTTACTTTTTTCTGATAATCCGACCTTTTTTGCGTTCCGACCATACCCCCAGTCCCAAAGGTGACGGATTAGAGGGGTTCTACTGTATATAAAATTTCCAAAAATAATGAAAACATTAACTTTTAAAAAAACAATATGTTCAAAATAAATACTCAATGATGAATGTTTGAGAATAATGTTTATCCAAGTTCAGTAGTAATATATCAAGATTTTCAATTAAAATCTAAGCATAAATGTAAGTAAAAGTCATAATACATAATGATTTTGAAATACATACCATGATAGTATGAGATGGAAATGTCTTCCGAACTTGTCTGACAAATTCTACGAATAACTCAGAATAACCATTTGCCACGTCAAGACATATATATTGAATCTGAGGTATTTCATTCAAAATAGTATTCAATTTCTCAAAATCATTTGAACTTGTTCCAGAACTAGCAGCAACATCCTAAAATATACAAATAAAATCTTTTAAATCATTTCTTACATTAAAAATTTCATTTACATAGACAATTAATAATAACGATTTACTTACTATTCTCAATTTCATTAACAACCAATTAAGAAATGAACATTGAATCTATCCTTGAAAGTAAACCATAAAAGGAATCTATTGTTGAAATTTATGGATTTTGAAAAAGCTTTCAATATTGTTTAGAACTGTTCAAAACATTGTGTGGGAACTTGGGGCCATCAAAAATTGGATTATGAGAGTTTAGGGTAGGATCATGCCACCAGGTGTGTGTTGTCAGACACACCTCTGATTTAGACAAAAAAAAAACAAAAGGCAGATAGTTAAGGCACAAGGGTAGGAGTCACTTCAAAGTCTCAGAATGAGCCTCTTGGGAGGATGAATACAAAGTCAAGTAAACTAATTTATGAATAAAAAATAAAGTTTATTATGGAAAAACAAAACTTACTATTAATCAAAACTAAGTTCAAATGTTATCAATAAGTACAAAATCTGTTTTAGGTAGTTACCCTATTTCTATTTGTAAAATGGGGGTATATAGTGGGAGTATCCAAACTTCACAACTCGCAACATACTAGAAAAAGAGTTGTTCTCTTCTAGATGATGTGTTAATTTTCTTCTTTTCCTTCTCTTTCTCCTTCACTTTCTCTCCTTTTCTTCTTCACTTTTTTGTCTTCTTCCCCTTCACTAAGTCTCTCAATTCCTCTCTTGTCTTTTAAGAATTATATGCATCCACATGAAATGGACAGAGTAGCATCTGTCATCTAACACCATTGAAAAGGGGGAAACGACTATCATTCCCTTCATCTTTCCTTTACATGTTGTGAGATTTATAACAATTATTGGATAATTGTTTTATTCTAATTTGTTTCTCTGAATTATTTTTAACAGGTATTACTAAAAATTTAGAAAGGAGATCCCTAAAATTGGAAAAATAGGCAAAATTCCTTTAAAACATTGGTTGATAAACAATCCTGCTGTCACATTTACAGAATCTCTGAGATATGGGTGCAATGGAGGTCCTGTCTGGTAGTTAACAATTGTTTGTTACACAACCAGACAAAACAAAGATGGGATATAAAATACATATATAGTTTAAAATACAATAAAATTTCCAACTTATTATTTAAAGAGATTTATTTTAATCTTTTAGCTAATAATGTATTGATTAAAATTATACAGTGATACCTAAGTTTTCATCGATAATCTGTCCAAAAACAAGTGGCGAAATTTGAAACCACTGAAAACCGAGGCAATTATTTCCATATGAATCAATGTAAATCCAATTATGTAATTCATTCTAGACACTCCAAAATACATACCAAAAACACTTTATAGAGAATAAATATAGCTTTTAATACTAAAAACAATAAGCAATTAATATAAAATGAATATAAAAGACTAATGTAAACAATAAATGAACATTTAACATGACATTCAAAGGGCTGCTGGCTCTGGAAACTTTCTTTGGTCTTATGATTGAGCTAAAAGGAAAGGAAACTAATGGAATTGTTCAGCTAGACTGCAGGGTAATTCTCACACAATGAGAAACAATGCCACACTGAGCAGGAAAACGCATAGGTCACCCCTTGTTTTTGCAAAATTAGCAGCGAGGTCACATCAACGAAATCCGGGGCAACCGACAAAAACCGAGACAAATTATTCACAGATAAAAATTGATGAAACCAAAATCAATGATAACACAGATATTACTGTACAGATAATGTTCATAATTCATGTATATATATATATAATATATATATACTGTATATATATATTATATATATATATACTGTATAATATATATATACATATATATATATATACTGTAATATATATA